CATGATCAGTATTTCCAAAGAGATTGTGCCCATTTACTTTTAAGATACCATGTCTGTTTGTAAATCTGTATCCAGATTACCAAGTACTCGGGGGAATGTAGTTTAATTACAGGGTAGTGACAGAACATTCATGTAATACAAGGACAGTACTGTCTGCAACCACAGCTGTACACCAATGAGGTTCATACCCTAGTGTTGTATCACAGTACAGCCTAGGTAACTGTGAAGAGAAAAAAAAAATCAAGACTTATCAGTACAGGACTCAAACATGGCTGGGGTGAAAATCCAAGAGATGGAACCCAAAACCATACATTTTTATCATTTGATGCGAGTCCCAGAAAATAAAGGATATTAAAAACAACTCGTGTTCCTACTGTAGCAATGCAATAGGATGCACTAGGATTATCATGGTGTGTAGGGTCGTTTTGTACTGTTATTTCCTTTTTTATATATATTCAAATGTATCAAACAATTTTAAGAATCATTTCAGGCATCCCAGAAACAAGCAATGAAAAACCAAGTGCTAGATGAATTCTGCCATGTGTTCAGAAAACTGCATAATCACACCAATGATCACAGACTGACCAGTAACAAAAAGCCAGCCATACACATCATCCTTATTGGGTTTACAGGATCAGAGCAGACATTTGTCCCAGCACATTTCCATTCCAGGAGTTCACAGACCGGTTCACAGAATATCCAACCTCCCCACTACCAACTGTCTAGCAGCTCCAAATGCTTTAAAAAAGAATGTCTACAGGGACTGGTATTTATGCTAGTTATGGAGGCAGAGTTTGTTTCAGAAAAAGTCTGTTTATCAAAGCTAGCACTTGTGCAAGGTTCTCTCTGTTATTTCTCCTGCATTTTTCAGCTATACAAAGAAACCCTTGACTTCACTTACTCTCTGCCACTCCTAGAACTGCTGTTCTGATCAGGATCCACAGCCAAAACACAGTTGTCACAAGTCACCTCTACAGACTTTCCTTCCTTTTCACCCTCATGACTGCAGTCCTCTTAGACTCCAATGAGAAACTCAACTCACGAGGAAAAAAGTTCAGGCTCTGCATTAAGTGTGTTACTATTGCAATGTGACAGAAATAAGAAAAAGCAGCATTAAAAGTATTGTTGAAGGAAAGAAGGCTTGATGGCATTTTGCAACACTAGCTTGACAAGAACCCCCAGCTTAATCTTGAACTCTGCTCCTTTACAAACAGCATCTTTTATATAAACATGGAGGTAAAGGTAGGAAAAAGCATTCAAGGACCTGAGGTTAGCACAACTGTAGGCAGTAGAGGCATCTAAAAGGAATTACAGATACATTGTTCTCAGGTTTCAATCAGTTCAGTGAAACCTTTTAAGAACGCTTATCCTGACTGCCACCTGGAGGACAATGGGACTCTTTTGAGTGAAGAAGGTATTAACACAGTATTTCCCAGTAAGACTTTCAACATGTTCTCCATATAAATATGAAATTACTTGAGTGCAGGAATAAAAGTAACAGAGAGGCAGCTGACAGTGCAGTTCATTCCCCAGCCCAGCTTCCCTTGTTTGTCAGTGTTTTCCTCCAGCTGAGAATAAGATCAAAATGTTTTCCTGAAGATTAAACATGTATTTGAAGAGTCACAAGAGGCTTAAAACAAAACTGAATATTCAAGAAGAAACTGTAGTTTTCTGCAAATATTATTCTTGAAGTTTTCCATTTTCCTTAATCCTAATTCTCCCTCACTCCCTTTCCAATGGGCATTCTATACTACTGATGACACAAAATTATCTGACATCAGACTTGGTTCTTCAGTTTCTCACCCTCTCATAAAAAGTAGTGAATCTGACTTATTTTCCTCTTAAAATTATTTCATTACCATTCTAGGGACAGGCTTTGTTGGTTGGTTGTTTTGTTGGGTTTGGTTGTTTGTTTTTTTTTAAATGATGTAGCAGGAAAAAAATTAGCAATATTAAGACATTTGCTTGTGACAACTCCTACCACCTTCAGAAACTATTTAAATGAAAGAAATGGCTGGTTTTATTACCTTAGGAAAGGGGCAGTTCTGAACATGCAGAAAAACAGACTGAGGTTGTAGAATGCGCAGGTAAGAAATAAACATTTCCATGTAAAGGAAATGCAAAAACGTCTTTCTTGCCCAGAGTAATATGGTGTGTGTTGAACAAGTGTGTGTTTTAAGTTTATTTATGGACTGTTGTAAAAGGGAACTTCAAGCAACAAATGTTTGCAAACATTGTGCCACCAAATGTTCCAGAGAGACCACAGGTTCCAGATTTATTCATGCAGTATTTAATGCACTACCAATTATTACATTGGTAAAGCCAGCTGGTTATTGCTTTTTTTGTCTTAAATAAAGTATTTTGGTTAATATCTTTGATAAATTCGATACCCCATGGCACATTTACATCTAGCTGAAGCGGAAAAAAGAATGTAGTTCAGTGCATAATGCCACTATCTTTCAGAACAAAGAGATACTATGCTTCAGGACTGCATGCAGGCAAGTTCAAGTAGAAGTTCTGTGTTATCTCTTTTTACCTAGAAGCATGAGGAAATAAATCAACCAAGTCCCTGCATGGAAAGACAAGATGCGAAAGTATCTATGAAGAACAGAGTAATACAACAGTAAGTCAGCAAACGTGTTGCAAAGATACTGCAAGTGTGCACACATATTCACTTTTCAGTTTTACCTTTAACTAAAGGTTTATTCAGAAAACCAGACTGATTATCAACACTTTTCCAACCCATCCCAAATTACACAAAGATGAATACTCTTTTCCCAAAATATTTAAGGAAAGCCCATGTGTTCCAATAAACATCCTGTATGCAAACAAGTAATTTGAGATGTTATATTTGATAAACTGTAATAGGTACTAAAAAGCTACTCTAATCATTACTTTCCAAGCTACAAGTAAAATGCAAGCCAGAGATTGCTGCAGCTTTAACTTCCACCCACCACATCTTATGGCCTTTAGTCAGGTATGACAAGTTGTACATTCTACTCCTCTAAAGATTAAATTCCACCATGTTCAGTTTTTCATGCTGTGCTTCTAAAGGAAGATGTTGAGCAATCTGAGCACTTAGAATTCCCAGCAGCAAAATGTGACAGAGCACTACAGTAATAGATGCTCTAAGCTAGAACAGCACCATTTTTTTCTTATCTAGCTTTCAGTGCAAGTGATTAAGAACAACAGGGCCAGAACAGCTCTTCAGACAGTTACAGAACTCAACTGTAACTGCCGCCGCCACCCCCCGCTCCCCCAACTCAAAAGGCATAAGATGGGAGGCAAGGCAAAAAAACCCCAGTGATCTAAGCAGTCCTTCAAAGTAGGCTAAGCCACATTCCCTTCATAGGTTTATTCTAGATTACAAGTGGCCCATGACTGTATTTCCTTTGGTTTCTTTTCACAGAAATGGAAGACTTCATCAGCTGTACAGCTTCCTCCAAAAATTACAGTTCACTTGCATTTGTTGCAGCCAGCAACCAAAAGCACCCCCAATTTCTTACCTGAAATTCAGAATGGATGCAAAAATCTCAAGGAGACGTGTCAGGAAAAGGAGTCATGCTGCCCAGGGTATTGTACTCTGAATTACAGACTTCAAGTTTAAGTACATCCACTGCTTATGAGTTGCAATTTAGGTATACCATCCCTTCAGCTCCCTTCCAAGTACACAATTAAGACTTATTTTGCTTTTTTGTACATTATGTAGCAGTAACACTACAGTTTACAAAAATAACAGTATTTTTGTAATTAGATATTTAAGTAAATAAATACTTTTGAAAAGATATTCATACTAAAAATAAAAATGACAGCCTGCTTTTCCACAATAACAGATTCCATAGTACTGCCCAAATCAGTTCTGATTCTCACAAACTTGGGCATTAAACCTTCAGTCTTGTAAGCAGAGCTTAGAAGTATTATTTCCCTGTATTAAGTAGGAAGACTGTACAAGAAATAGTGCTCAGCATTATGTGCTAAGTACCAGAGAACATGAGAAGCTTGTAAGCTTGTTCAGCTGTGCAAGACATTACGAATTATGATTACAATTACTTTGCCATTTTCCTGTGGGACACAAGGATATGCATCTTTGTAGCATACTGCACTGGTAAATAAAAAAAAATTTCAAAGAAAAAGCAACTTTAAGGAAGTCTCCTTGACCTGTTAATGGTTGCTTACCCTCTATAGCTTCTACAAGTCTGGGAAACTGTCTTGGACATGAGCCACCAAGCTTGTCCTAAAGCAAATTTTTCCACAAGAGATAACAAAAAAGTCTGTCAAAGGCAAAAACATTATACTAGAAGCAACACAGGGCTCCATCCTTCTCTGAAGACGGCTCTGTAAAAACATGTATTTCAACTAAGTTGCGGATGTAGCCACTGACCTTTAGTTCCATGTGGAGATGCACATGTTCCATGCATGTCAAAATAATACCAGTTTGAAACTGCAATGACATATGCTGTTTTTGTATATCTAATGTAGAAGCAACCATCAATATGCACTCCTCAAGCTTTTATTAAGTAACTGTTTACAAGATGTTTAACAGATCCTTAAGATCAAGTCCTCTCATCGCTAGATTCAAATTTTATAACTGACCTGTTACAAAAAGGAACGAACATTAAGTTTAGATGAGCCCTTTACATAAAGCTCTTTCCCAAACTAGGTCTTTAAAAGACTATCTTCCCATGCAAAATTTTGATAACGAAGTAGTAAGTTCAAGGGATCTACTATTTTCCACTTGCAAAACCCCCATCTTTTTACAGCAGCATACTAGCTACCAAGCATCAAACACTTACTGAAAGTTTTAACACTTAATACCTGAAGCATTTCCTAAAAAATTGCTTTTTACTTCCTACATTAAGTGATAATCATCACTGGGTTCATCATAACAGAGTACATTACATTGCTGAAAGCTGTAGCATATGATACAAGCTACTCTTTTAAACATTAAGTGTCCCATAAGCTCAATTGTAAGGAACATTAAGTTTGGTACTAAAGTAGTTTTAATCCCATGACTCAAATGCACTTGCAGAATATGACATCTTCATTCCTCCTGGGTTCATGTTGGCTCTGGCTCCATAATTCTAGGAAACAGAACAGGTAGTAGTTTAGAATCATTAACACTTTCAATCATTTAACAGTAAAAGTGACTACAAAACAATTTTAGCTTTCTGCATGCATGTATCTCAATGTAATTTGAACATCGTATTTTTAAAATAAATACAGAAGTTCCTTCACCATTAAACTTCTATACATAACATTTTTAGACCCCAGTGTGAAATTAATGCACTTTAATCAACCTCAGATTTTATCAGGTGTGGGAATAATCCTTCCCAAAGTTCAAATCCCAACTTCTTCTCTTACCCAACACAAATCAGTTCACACAACTTTTGGGAAAAACTTCCTTCTCCATTTCTTATTTAAGAATGACTGTCTGCATTACTTTCCCAGCAAAATCCTTTTCCTTTGGAAAAAGGATGAAGTCAAATCATCCGTAAGATTGTCCCAAAATAATCAAATAGAGCCTCAAACAGATTCCTCTTTCAAACTCATCATTTGATTATCAAATTGCCCTTTCATGCATTCCCTTTGAAAGAGAAAGTGAATATTGTAAAAACACAAATAAGATGTTACCTTTCTTCATCAGAAGAAAGGGCATCAGGATCTTTATTGAACACTAGATGATACAACCCTCTCTTTCAGTAACAGTAAAACAGCAAAAAACAGCTTTAATAGTTAATTTCAAAGAAAAAAAGAGGGCTGATTACAAATGCGCAGTTTCTGTCAGAATCACTGACATCAGAAGGTCTCATAAGAAAGGAATTAGAACCTGATGATCTCCAACTCAAGAGTTGGTGCACTGCATATATGTGATTAAGAGGGCAGTACTCCCAAGGCAAACAGACAGGTTTCCCCTGAAACTCTTCTATTCACAAGTACGCAGACAAAGAGCCACAGTCAGATTTGGTAACTCGGACGACGTGAAAGACAGACTTGGACCTAGAAATGACAGATTTCATGAAATGCTGGAAGACACTCCACAAAGGTTGGAGATGTGTATTTGGAAGCAATCTAGACTCAAAGGTTGATGAGATCCACCTTTGAAAGCAATCTATAAAAATTAAAAAAGTGTCCTTGAAAGAAGAAAGATCCACTGAGGCTGCAAGCGTGTGAAGGAAGAAAAAGTTTAAGTGTGTAACTGAGGTCCCATGAAGACCCAAATAAAAAAGAATCAGATCTAATGAGGGAACTAGTCAGGCAGGTAAATACACCCAAAACACCCATTACTTTCAATAATTATGGTATAGAAAAAGATAATTAATGAAAGGAAGGTCTGAGCTTGAACTCAAGCTTCAGACCTTGTGTAAGCAGTGAGAGCAATTATTTCTCTTGTGGTCTCTAAGAGAGTATTAATATTTGGAATGCAACTGAGATGTGATAAAGCTCTTATGGAAGCAAGAGATCAAGAAAAGCCTTTTGATGCAGGCATTAAAATCCAAGTAGATAAAAGCAAGAAGTATCAAACATCAGTTGAAAAAAAAAAGTCATTCAAAGTAGGAGTAGGCATAGAATTTAAATCCTGAACTAATGACTGCAGAGTGATTTCAGAGCTATGCCACCTAGGCTGTCTCATTTACTCAAGCTGTATTTTAACATCTGGCACCAGCAACACTAAGAGACCAGAAGGCTCCTCCTTATCACAGACATTAAGAATAATTTTGACATGGATCAGATTGGGGCATTTATCTAACTATAATTAGCTTAAGTTTTTAGTCAAATGAGTTACTTGACTGAGCGATTCATAACAAGCAGTGACTGTATAACTAGCAACTATTTGCTCCTACCCCACATGTGCAGTAGAGAAACTTCTGGTACTACAGCCTTTGTGTATGTTTGCACAAACCTTTTCTTCCACAGAGTAATTTTTGACACTAGAGATGAAGACTAATGCAGCTAGTAAGGCCACACTGTAAAAGTCCAAGTCAAGCAAGTTGTTCAAAATTAGTTTCAGAAATACCGGGCATTTTGATGATGCACAACTAAAATAAGGGACAGTTACCATTGGAACAGTTTCAGTGGCATTACTCTGGATATATACTGCTAAACACACTTTTATACTGAGAAAAAGTCCCAGAAGCCAAGACTTCCAGTTCATTCCCAGACTTACCTTTTGGGTATTAACTGATGTAAAGATTCTTTCTCCTTGAAAACCAAAAGCAAGTTCTTCCAACCAAACAGGAACTTCCTGCTGGGCCTACATAATTAGAAAAGTGAATTTAGAGACTTTGACTGCTTTAACCGTATATAAGAGTTAATATTAATATTAAGTCATATTAAGAGTTCCGTAACTGTACCAAAGAAATAATAGTTGCTCAGTATATTAAAGTGAAATCTAAACAACAGAAAAAGTTAAGCACCAAGATTTGAAACTTACATCTGAAAGCACTTTAACTAGAGATCGTGCAAGATGGCCATCTGTACTGTTATCAAAGAAGCAAACTGCTTTGCCTACATTTCCACAACGACCAGTTCGTCCAATTCGGTGTACATAGTCTTCAATGGTGGAAGGAAGATCAAAATTAATAACATGTTGAACGTTTTCAATATCCAGACCTCTTGCTGCCACTGAAGTTGCCACGAGAACTGGACATTTCCCAGAACGAAAATCCTGCAGAGCTACTTCTCTCTCTCTCTGTTCTCTATCTCTACAAAGACATCAATAGTTAGAATGGGTGTCTCAAAAAATCGGCAGTATTATTTAAGGGGGGGGGGGGGGGGGGGGGGGG